GTATAATTGTAGTGCAAAGTAAAAATATAAGTCGCAGTGAACAGATTATGTAAAAAGGTGCTCTTAGACTGTATTGTTCTATTGTTATTAGTATTATTAGTAGTTATTATTGGTGGTGAAATTAATTTACAAGGTAGGAGAAACCCTTCATCTGTTATTGCTGTAAAACAGTTAAATGATTTATTAATTCCCATGTTTTAATATGAATTTTCCACAGCTCCAACAATAAAATAATGTCAGGTGTAGGAACAAAAAAAACAAAAACATCTTACTTTGAAATATATCACCGGAAGTCACGCGTTTTCATTCTGGCTAACTTTACTTTAGCTTTAAACGAGCTCAGCAACACCGTCGCCATCTCGTGTGAAGAAACGTCCACCGATTGTTTCAGCAGCAGAAATAACTAAAACCTCCACAACTTCCACACATATACAACAATACAACGCTGTATTCGTCACGTCTGATTATTTCTGCGTGGCGGAGGATACTGTGGATAAAAAGGACGAAGAGGAGGAAGAGGAGGAAGAAGCTCACGGCGCTGTGCGTCGGCTAACAGCGGAGGAATCACTCGGCTCTCCGTTTATGTTTCCTCCACTTCAGAGACATGTTGGACGGCTCTCCGGCTCACGGCGATGAAGCCAACATCGGCAACGTGGAGAACAACAGCCCGGTGTCGGTGCTGTCGAGCGGCGACGGGCTGAACAACAAAACGAGGCAGAAAGAGCTGCTGAAGAAAGGAGGGAGGAAGCTGCGGTCGACGGCGCCGCTGCATCACCAGAAAGCCCCGAGAAACGGTCCAAACAACAACATCCGCCTGTCCGACCACAACAACAACAACACCCTGACGGTACCGAGCCCCGGTACCGAGCCGTCCGCCGGTACGCAGACCGCACTGAGCCTCCATCACCTCAAACAGGAGGCCAAGAAAGAGGTAACTTACTGGGCTGTTGTTGCTGTTGTTGTTGTTGTTGTTGTTTGTGTGTGGCGTTTACGAGCTCATGTGACATCCAGATTGTTCTTCTTGATTAGTGAAGTTATAAATAAATAAAATTATCAGTAGAAATGAACTATAAATGTCAAATAATAAGCTCAGACTCGTGTTTAAATGTCTTAGGAATATTGGTTAAAGCTCAGTGTTGTCAGTGTAAGCTGGCAGATATTTGTGTGATGAGTTTTTGGTGCTTTTGCAGTTTTACAGTATTATAAATGGTTTTTGGTCCGTGTGAAATGAGTGAGAGCATTGTGACTGTGTGCTGCTGCAGAGGAGAACACATCCTTAAAGAAGCAGGAAGGTTGTTTGACACAGAGTCAACAAATCTCACACCATCAGGATTTGAACTGAGTTTTCAGGTTGGTTTTTTATTGTGAATCATATTGCAATCTTTAAAAAATATTTTTTTTTGTCAACATCTGCACAAAGTAGTAGTTTTTAAGCAATAATACCAAAAGTTAACCTCTCAAAAGTGAATATATTTTGAGTTTTCGTACTCTTTTGTCATAGTACGTTGATTATTTGTACGTTTTTGACATTTTACTCCATTTTCTGACATATATTTTCTTAACCTGTGTGCTTCTACAGCCTCATATGACGTCTACTAAACAAATAAAATGTTTGTGTGTTCTCAAAATAAAGTGTATTTGTTGGTGCTTCAGTCTCCTGCCGTGCCTGAGGCAGTTTTGAAATGACGCACTTACTAATCCTTGTTGTGACGAATCGAAAGTAGACGTCTTCCTCTTTCTGCTGGCAGGTTGCACTTTGCTCGAAGGCTCGTCTGCGCAGCAAAGAGTGACGGGAAGCTGGTGTAAACAGGGCAGAGTTCGTAACACCCGGAGGAGGTTTTGTTATGTAGGAAATGCATTCAGCTTTATCACATGGTTATGGGTTACTGCCTCGTTAAGGTAACTGTGTAACGTACTAATAAAAAGACTCCTGTGGAACTTTACATTTATGTTTTGGGTCAGCAGATCTTCAGTCATCTCCAGTAAATGTGTCTCGCAGCGTGTTTCTCTTGCTCCAAACCACAGTGTCCAAGTCAATCCATGTGCCAAATGGTTGAATATAAGTATTAAATGATGATTTTTGGTCTTTTTCTTTCGTCTTTTGTGTAAATGTGTCATTCGGTGCCATTTTAAAGCTAGCTGTAGAGTAGTAGCATTGTTAGTTTTGTGTTTTTAAAATCAATCTCATAAGAGAGGCATGTTTTTTGCTTACTTCTACCAAATCCTAATTAATCTGTGAATATTAATGTCTGAGGAAAAAGAAGATAATAAACTTTGTGCTTCTGTAATTAAGTTTATTTAGAAAGTTAACTTTATTCTGGTAGTGTCAGGAGCTTTGGCTTAAACAAACCTGTTATCATGCCATAGGTCAAG